AATGGGCAACCAAAAGACAGCAACCAAAACCGGCGCACGAAAGTGCATGGTTAATGGTTTAAAACTGAAACTGAAAGACTTTCCTCTCATCGATCCCTCACAAACATCTCTATTTCTCCTTAGCTTCACTTGACTCCATCCACAAACACATGCTCTTCCGAGTCCTTCTCACAATTTCTTTATTGACTGTCAAAATTTCCTCACTTGCTTCTCGTGCTGCATATCAAGTTCTTTTTCTCTTCCATGCAGCACCCCTTTCAATTCAACTCAGTCAACATTGTACAAAATTCAGATTCGTCTTATCCACGAATACTACACCCGTGTATAGGAAGGTGTTACCTTTTCTATCTTCACATAACCACATTCCAAATAAAGCAACTTGCAGCATCACTGAACCCCAATTAGGGGTGACCAAAATTGTCTCGCGAAAGTGCAAGGTTGCATAAGCTGACCCGTATTTAACGTCCGACTTGTAGTCACTCACCCATCCGATGAGCGCTTCTTTACTTCTTTTATTTTTTATCACCGTCAGTTCAGATTTTGCTGAAATGTGTACACCTTATCTGTGCGAAATCTCTGTTCCGCGGCACTACAAAGCCATTAGTCAGTCACCATGTTTGGTGCCTGTGTTCTGCAAACATTTTCCAGTTCTCCACAACCAGTGTAGCCGGGAACACTCAGCCGCAGGTTTGTCTCCCCGATCACTAACAACCTTGATCTTCTAAACGCAAAGATCAATGCATTAGATCTATCAAAAACTTTCCTCCTAAACCCATCATTACGTCTTCGGATAGTGAGATTTATCTTTTTTACTGTCATCTTATTTGTGCATTGAACAAAATATTCGGAGTATAGTGACTCACACATGTGCGGTGGATCCCCAGTAAACTATGGGTGGATCATTTCAAAAGTTGTACTGCAAGTATCAACCCAATAGAAAGTCTAACTGGTATTTTTTTTATCGCTCACAGAACTCGAAACGATCACGTCTACTTTCTGTTACGACCATTAATTAAAAGGGAAAAAGTTTTAACAGAGCTCGTGATTATCGAGAACATCAAATATAACGGTAGCATTAAACCGAATTACTTTGCAGGATCCACAAAGTTCGGAGTGAACGAACACTTACCGAGCTAGTGCCATCATCCGACTTTTTGGACCACAAAAGCTTTCGCTTTTGTTGTTGTTCTGCCAACTTTAGAACGTTCACGCTACTAGGATTGTAGTACTTTGGAAGATTGGCTGCAGCCGCAGCGGCAACGGCTTGAGCTTTCGCTTGAGCTTCTTGATGCTTTTGGATCTGATTTAACAACTCCTGAGTGTTGAGGCGTAGAGTAGATCCGACCGCCGAAGTTGTGGTCACTGGTGCTTAAAAAAAGATGCAGTCATATATATATATATNNNTACGGGGATATCAGAATTCGGGTTGAGTGAAATCATTTTTGACAGAAACACTGTTTAATTGGGAATCAAAGTTCAGCATTAATAGAACGATTACACTGAGCCTCATGGTGAATCATGAGGGCTACACCAAAACTATTTCTGTGTAAAACATAAGCGATTTATAAATAAAAAATAGTTGCAATTTCGCGATACATTCGTGGTTAAAAACAAAACACGCTACCATAGAACATTATTGCTCTCTCGCGTAGCACTTGGTCTGATCTTCTAATACCTACAGCAACGATCTTGGAAAATACCACTGAGCAGCACAAATGAAACAGTGAAATTACTTTGATATTATTACACAGGGTTTCAATTAACATAGACGCTGCATTCGTGAAGTGGAGAGCTGGATGGAAGACTGACGAAGTGGTATTGATGCGATCCGAAATCCCATCGGAGAATGAGTAAAAGTACACTACAATCTAGATCTGCACTCCGAAGCTCGAGTCATGATTGGCAAAAAGTTGAGAAGACTATTTACCTATGACAACCAACAGTTTGAGATGTGGAAGTCAAACTAGCTTATCACATACCGCCCCAGTACGATAAGTGCGTTGTTGTTGTAGACGACAGTGAATCTGCTTATCACCGTTGGAAAGATTTGAACCTGGGACCACAGAAACCGTTTGTTTTTACAAACCGATGAGGACACCAAGTTTGTTTACCCGCTTAACCTAAAGCTGGTTTCTGATGATCATAACAATCAAGAACAATTAAAATTTAACTACTGCGTACAAGAAAGGAGTGAATTCACTATGATTAACACCGGAAAGAAGTTGCTCAATCGCGTAAGGTCGAAAATAAGAGACTGTGTAGATGTGTGACATAAGGCACTATCTTGACTTTCGAAACCCCAGGTGGAAGCATGTTGCACTTTGAGGGACTGCAAATAACTGAAGCATGTAGTGAAAACCGTTCAACAGTCCAAATCATGATCGGAATTCCGTTAAAGATTTTTTCAAGGTAATTTGTCTGACAGTCCGGGTTCAGTCAAGTTTAAAATAGATACTGCGGAGGTACAAATTTTATTGGTACGCTGCGACAGTACGACCCTACCTTGATGTACTTTAAGACCTTGCATTTCAATGATACCCAATATGGTATGGTGTGCATCTCCACAAAGCAACAATAGAATTTTTGGATTGAGAAAACAATCACATCAGCAAGACAAATGACCCAATGGATTAGTGACGATTGCATGATGTACTTACCTGCTACACTGGTTGTGGTTAATGCTGGAGCACCACTAGAAGTCGTTGTAACGGTAGACGTTACGGGGATATTTACGTCGTGCCTCTTGTCGTCTGAACCATTAGAATCAAGCAATGGGGAACGCTAAAATGTGACGGAAATGAGTGACTATGACAACAGAAGTTCATTTAAAAGTGAAGTAAACAATCATTATCAAAGGGATGTTATATGACGATAAATGTAACTACTTCAAAACTCACCGTTTTTTGTGTTGAATTGGTGCGGACCACAGTGGGTGCATATTGTCTTCGAGGACAATCGCCACTACTGGAAGAGGAGGACGGAGATCGATGGTGACGCTTTCGATGTCGACGGTGACTGCGAGATCTGTGTCGGCGGCTATCATCATCCCTATGTCGACGATCGTGATGGCTGCGCCTGTGTCCATGTCGCTTCGAAGACCGCCTCCTGGAGTGTTTCCTAGAACGACTACGTGACGAACGCCTCGAATGGGATCCTTTGCGAGAACGACGATGCCTTTCGTGAGACGACCTAAATTGTGAAAACCCTTTTTCAGTTATAAGGAATGGGAAAGTAAAACGAATTACTTCTGGAAGACGAATCAACGATCGAACACTGGTATTCACAAATGTTCATCTGGGAGAGCTTTAGAATTCATGCTCATTGGTATGGGTCATACCGCGAGGTTCAAATAAAGCCAACTACAGTGCACCCACTGGGAACGACGATGAAGTAGCTAAATATCTGAGGTTGAACTGAGGGGGTATAATCGTTTGCGAACTTCTTAGCGACCTTAACTTTTATTCTCACAGAACCTCCGGTTAATTTTCCAGTAATTGTATTACACAGAGTAACTCAAGTCTAGTTTCTTTCCATCGTGTATCATCTGAGTTTACTACAAACTGGTTGGTTGAACGGGCAACTTCTGTTTTTTTTTTCAAAAATTACGGTGGATCCGGCGTCGAAAGGATAATTTATTTCTGCTCTAAAAATGTCGCAGACAACCATTTGGATGAAAACCGGGTGAATGCATGCTGTGAGAACTAAGAACTATTTCGCATACCAAAAAAGGCACTCGTTTTCTAAACTTCCTGAACAGTCAGATGAGAACTGCGATCAAGCTTCAGGAGCAAACTGGGTTCTCAGATTACAAAATCTGAAGCATTATTTGTAGCGACATTTTAGTTTTCATAAAGGATGAGTCAAATTCACTTTGAGCGAAGTGAGTTGTTTGCAACAGACGACTACAGATGGAGCTCTTCAGGTTCTTCGACAGTATACCGCTAACACATGAACATTATGCGCATAGGATTTGGATACTGGGTTTTTAACAATTTACTCAACTACTGGGGCCAGGAGGTATAGCCGGAATGACTATGCGGCTGAGGTCAGAAACCAAATGCCCTATTTGTCAGCTCGATAGTGCCTGGAACAGGAAACAGAATTAACTGTGTAATGTTCACTTAGGTCAACAGATCAGCTATCGGGTTAACATTGGAGTGATCTTTGAAAGGCCATCCTCAACCCCAAAGTGTGAAACCTAATTAATCTTGGTTTAGTTTAGATTCGGTTTTTACAACCATTAATCAAGCATTTTTAATGCACCGATTTTGGTTGCATCGTTGTCTGGCTGATGTCCGGTATTAGCGAGGTGGCCCAGCCAGACAACGATGCATTCAAAGTCATCTACAAAATATCCCAAAACAAATCAAAGCAAGTTCGGAAATGTCACTTGGCAACAGCGGAAGCTGTAGCAATCAAAATCATGAATCCACCACTATGCAAACAGCTGCCTCGGCCCCAACCAAACCTACGTGATGACGCAACATGGCGTGAAAAATGGTACATGATAAAAAAAGGTCACCGAAAATTCCAGAATTTACCTTCCCCCCCCTCCCTTTCGCCCACTCTCCCCATTTTATCCACTCGTCCTGATTAAACTTGATAGAGGTTGTTGAATTTTCATACATAACCTCTATGATCCAATCACATTTATTACTAAATTAGATATAAACACGAACACAACTGTAAAGGCCTGAAGGCGAAGTTACGAAAACAAGCTTGTTCGCTTGTTCGCATTTCGAGGACCTGACGCATNGTGAAATTGATCAATACGCCAGCGAACAGGTCGGAATCCGGCATGTTATTTATGTGCATTGGTCTCCGCTGTAGGGGTCAGAGGTAGAAATATGTGAGGTTAACACTTGTATGATTACGGTCTAATCCCGCAGTGATTGGAGCAGTCATTGCAAGATCCCTTGTCGAAAACCGGAACGACCAGTGATTCGCCTCAAGATGATGGAATGCGCTCTTTGGACGAGATGTGCAGTAAGTTGATAAGAGCTCGCAAGGTTAGTACCACCACCCTCCTCCCTCTCGCATTACACATAGAACTGGACAGAAATGAAGTCGATCACTGTTATCTGTTTGTTGGCAGAAAAGGGCGGGGCACAGTGATCAACTAGACAAGTTTCCGAAGCGCTTTCTTTTCCAACCTGCGCGGTGAAATCACCTGCAAGTATAACTACATCGGAGCTTCGACTGTGATTGAGTTCGATGAATTGGTCGTATAAATCGCACTTTGTCGGTCCGAACTGCAGTTGGTCGGTGCATATGGTGGAATGTCGAATAACACTTTTTGGTGTTGTTCCTCTTACGGACACCGATTGACCACGGGAGCCGCATCGCACATAAGCGGCTGTTGACGGAACCAATCGACAACAGAAGCCCCAGTCCTATTATTGAGTACAATACCCAACCCGCGCTGACCTAATGAACGGGCTTCAAAATGGCCTGACTGCAATTTATTTCGTAGTAAATTACTCAACAATCGGCATCAAACTTGGGTGAGTGACAATCTAGTTGCTTGAGCAACTGTTATAGGCGAGGAGTAAAGGTGGAGGATTAATTATGCAAGACAACTAAA